ATGTAACGTTATTTCGGCTGCATACAAAATTTTACATACTGTCGCAATCTCCATTCATCGCTGTGGAGAAAAAAACTTTCCAGCAATATTGCTCAGCTCGTCTGCTTCACTAACAATCGGCGCTCAAAGTGAAGCCCTTAAAGGCTTGAGAAGTTCTTGCTCACCCCAAAACGAAAACTACTTAACTTAATATAAACCCATAAACCGGGAAAACAATATGTAATGCGAATCGAAATCCATATTTCCCATCCGAGAAGACACCCAAATCGTGAGCCAAGGTACGAACGAGTATGTTAACTTGGCAGATGACCTCGTCACCAAGCGTTATTTATCATCGTTGTTGTTTATCTGAATAAGTGACCGTACCCATTCTAAATATTGAATTGGTATCTGGAGTTAATAAATTCGATAGGTCGCATTATAGTGTCATACAATGTCCATATTAAGCTTATAAAATATTTGTGGCCCAGCGGTTGTGATTGACTTTAGCGTTGCACACATTACTGCGACAGGCAGGCCTAAATCCGTTTGCTGACATTTAGGTTCTAACTGTAGCGGCCTAGTTGGCTTAAGACTAAAAAAATTATAAACCTTATTAGAAGGATTGAAACGCGAAATCCTAGATAGTAGTAAATAGATAGTAGTAAGTGAACTACTGATAACTAGGGCGAGGGAGCAAACGCATAAAAGACGTGAAATGAGGATGTAAAAAGGTAACAATACCGATTTTACTGAATCCAAGCGTTCTTCTTCAGTAGTTGTCGGAAATTGGAGTTACAACGAAGAAGGGATGACCAAATTTGCTGTTCATGTTCAGTTACCCGGCCCAACGAAATTTTTAATAACGATCGATAGTATGCGTAAAAATGAAAGTTTCTTTTAGACCCTTTTCAGGCATACTGTCCAGATCAGTCGCCAGTCACGCCAAGAATGGAAGGCTCTCAGGGCACGTTATCACGCCATCACGAGATGAAACAAGCGGCTGTATTCCAAAAAATGGTACACGTAATACATAGAAACAAATTCAGGTCAAATGTACACACCTAAAAGGATAAGGTTAAAAGACCCATATAAGAGTCAGTTGGAGGCGGATGGTCAAAAATTATGTCTTCTCCTCGTTCTCTTAGGCTCACTGCCCTAAAGTCACGTATCTTCAAAGTCAGCTGATTTAGAATCGCCGGCCTTAGATCGCTTGACCGACATTCAACTCGGACATACACGCGCACGCACACGCACGCCAATGCGCGTTCCCAAAATAATCGCGGCTTCCTTAGTGCCACTTGAAAGCACCTCCCTCCCTCTACAGATGACACGCCCTGCAGACAATGCCACAGACCAATAGCAAACTCGCTCCAGTCATGCAAGAGCAACGGTCATTATCATATCTCACACATCACACACAGTCAACCAATCTCAGACAGGACCGGACGCAGTCAACACCATCCCTGCCTTTGCCAGTTACAACTTCCACTTGAGACAGCAAATCCGGGTTCTCTGCACAATAAAGCCCTCACTCTCGTGACTCATGCCTTTCATCTACAACTTGGGATTTAACCTGCTGATTCTAGTGCTCTAAGCACAAACGCTACTTAGTCATTGCAGGCTTTCGTCATTTTCGACCACCTTCAGTCATCGATTTTCGTCCCCGGTCAGTTTTGATGTCTTGCACTTCAACGTTCCCTCATTTTCTTTATGCGTTATTACGTTATACTTTTGGTCCCTTGATGATTATGCCATAATGTTTGTTCATGGTTTTATTATAGTCACGGGTCCCGCCTCTGATCCACATTAAAATTTTCTACCAAATATCGTCGTTATTCGCTTTAGGAGGCCAGGTCCGCATAATAAGATTATATTTAGGATTTAACAAACTGTTGGATGAATAATGGACCTTCGATGGAATTACTGAACTAAACCGTACCCAACACAACGAGTGTGTCCCGGCGCCGGTACCCTATAGGAAACCTCCCAAAATGGCATCGGGAAATTTACAATCGTTTATTGTGGCAATTGAAAAAGCTGGTAAATAAAGGCCTTAACTTTTATCTTGTAGAAACATGTCCTGCACAGATAAAACTAATCGAAAAGCATGCTGATTTAATTAAGCGCAATGCTTCTAATATGGATGGTGTTCTTGAACGATTTGGCGTCCAAAAGTGGACATGCCTTCACGCTGCTGTTATGTAAAGGAACTTCTTTTGCATCAACATTTTAGTCGAGCTAAACTTTCTCTGACAACTCAGGTAGACTCAGAGCTCCTCATATCCCAAACCCGAAGTCTGTTTCTCCATTGCAATGTTGAACATCTCCGAGAGATAAAGCCAGTTGGTTTGTCTTAGTGCAAGCTTAGCCTAACAACTTTTTAGTGTGCTCTATCTGTCGCGAATTTACTCTCTACCTCACGTCTCGTTCCATGGCTATACGCGGAATACCGATCCTTCTCATGGCTATTGAGAAAGTTCGGAATTCACCAGAGCAGTTGACGTCTATCCATGCCGATGTTTGCCAAGTAGGTGATTAACTTGCACTACATTTTTAGCTTGCGCTTTCGGCCAAATGTTTTAAGCCCGTTATTCCTCTTCTTGATACTGATATCCTCGACTCGGAATGTGACGTAAGTACTTTTTCCACATTGACGCATGCATGTAGAAAAACGCATTCGGTTTACAAGATGCCCTTTTGTACTTCTACTATGGGGGCATGATCTATGGTGCACTCCGGAAGTGGGATCGATCGCTGCACTTTTTCAACATGGTATGCGTACTTGCTTGTCTATCTTCAGTGTTTCATGATTCCAATCTCCACCCAAAGGTCAATTCTTGATGAAGCTGCAAAGAAGCACCTGCTCGTGTCACTTATCCATCAGGGAAAGGTAAATTAAGACTAAGATGGTTTCTGACTTGTTATCTCCTACTTACTGCCACGGTCCATACCTTGCGTATTATTTTCGTTTGCTTCGATATAAAGACATTGCCAGGGCTTCGAGGATTTTCTCCCCTTCACAAGTTTACTTTACTAATATCAGCATTAGCTCTGTGAGTGAAGGCCCATAATAGTTAGCTGTTTTACTGGGCCCGGTATAATTTCGACGTTTTTATGTATAGTTTGTCGGCAAATTTTTGCCACTGTACACCTGTATATTCCTCCGTGAACGCTGCAGGAAATAGTTGTCCATTGTCACGCTGCATGCAGTTGTAGCGGTCATAACTGATTCATGCATTGTATTTAAGATTTTTATGCAGTTAACACGAACATTTTCGTTTGATAATTGTTGAAAGGTGTCAAAACTGTTTACTGAAACAGTCTCACGCGTTTTTAGCTTTATGCCGGGAAATATTCTACGATCGATTGCTACCCCAGCTGCATGCAGGCTAGCGTAAAGTCCTTATTCAAACTAATACCCACTGATATGTTTTAAAGCCCTCCACTTTTCCCTTCGCCTTTAGTACCCTCCTGATGGAGTATATCTCGAGTCCCTTCACTCCCTCATGCCTACTCGTCAGGTTAGCCTTCTCCACAGCACTACAGTTTTTTTTAAATTTAAATTTTATTAAGTGTGTTTCCAGGCGTTATAATAGATTCTACAGAAAAAATAAAGCTCATATCTACTAAAGCGTGCTATTAAAGTTGCACTTGTGTAGCTTGTTTTGCGTCCTAAAACCTCGGGAATCTTTATTTTTGTCAAATCTCAGGCCTACAGTTCCGGTAAATGAAATAATTTTCACTTGCGTCTGTGGATGCATGGGCTTTCTGTGAAAATTCCCCAAGGCATGATATCTGCACGTCGAATTATTTAAGCGCAACACTGCTGCCCTAATAGAAACGCTCAAATACTCTAGCTTTCATATTTGACACTATCTTTTCTGCTTTTTCCCGCATTACGAATAAAAGATTACTGTGATGTTGATGGCAGAAATAAAAACAGTATAATCACACTATGAAGATGAAGAGTGTTTATCTGCCTTTCACTGGCGTGAAAGAATTATTGTTCTAGACTGGAAAGCCCTTTGCAGTGACATTTTGAATCATATACTATTTCACGTAGGCTGATCTTGGGAATAATTAACTGATTAAGAACTCTACGACACATCTAGCTTGCTTACTTTAAGGCCGATTCTTCAGCAGTGATTCCCGGTTGCATTTTAAATTCTCTGCAGGTGTTTGAACAGAAGCACTGTCAGGACAATAATATCTGTGGCTCAGTCAGACCTCGTGGCCAACTCTGGATACGTGCGATCTTGATAAGCCTTATCGAACCGATTTTTAGGCATTGGGTTAGGCTTTCTGGAAGCAAAACATACTCAGCGCAGCGCAAAAATTTTATATCGATGACTTTGACTATTCACGATAGAGTCGCACTAAATGCAGACAGTCTGGGTACTTCGTGCAAAGGAACTTCTCGAACAACTTTGATTTGAAACTTCATTTCGAGCCGTCTTTCCTGTCCATAGCCCAGCATTCGCAAATGTGTAAAAAGGCTCAGTCGACGGATGATCGTTACGTTTGGATCCTTAGGGTGGCCTAGTCTTCGCGACGAACCCATCGATTTGGGTGACTTCATCGTGCCTCCCCTGTCCAGTTGACAGAAAGGCTAGGTTCTCGGGCATCAGAACCTGTCTACTAAACAAAAGAACACCTAATTAAAGGCAATTTTTGGCAGTGCATTCGTTCTGCAGCACTGTTGAATAAACTACTCCATGTGACTATATTGATCATCCGAGACGCTAAAAGTAACAGAAGAAAAAAATGTACAAGTTTTGTTGTGGCCATGAGTTCTTTCACTTGTCATGCGCCAAGGTCCTCTTCCATCTCCGCCACACATTTTCCGTGTTTCATTCCTAGGGTACCTTTGACAAGTATAGGTCCCTCTCCAGTGCCTTCTCGTCCACAGATCCTGCTACCCTGGCTAGAGTTATTGAAACTGAAGCGGATACATTCAAGGCGGTAAGTCTTCACCCTCCTCCGTTATTATCGTCTTTATTTGAATCGGTAGCTTCTCCCTAACTTTCAATTCTTTTATCGTTTTTACTCGACTCGCATGCATCTCATGCCTTGCATTATTTTTCTCCCATCCCCAGTTTGTTTACGCTCACATATGCCTTGGTTGTTTTTTTATTACTAGGACAAAAATTTCGGCCTTGTAAAGCAGCTGCTTGACCGGCACATCAAGTGTCGTATCCAAAATCTGACCAAGGTAGGCTTTATGCATCATCTTCTCATCCTTCATTCTCATTCGCCCCCTTTTAAATTCTTATACTTTTGGTTTCTGGGATTTCTGTCAGCCGATCCTGTCCATCTGACAGGCTAGGTCCACTTTGTACCCTATAACAAGGTGACACAGTGACGGTGACTTGAGTCACTTAGGTTATTGTGGTAGTAGACTTGTACTGCGTCTATCGCACTCTCCGAGCCGAGCCAAACTCCTGTGAAACAGCCTTGTTTGGCAGTGGTCCGCTTTTAGCATGCAAGCAGCTGATTGTAGCTTTAGTCTATAAATGTGCTTAGTGGCATTTTCAGTAATTATAACTTCTATCGTTTGTTCCCAAACTTCCAGGCTAACCTTTTTTTGTGTTAAGGTTCTGCAAATATACGTAGACTAGTCCTTTTTCTTTTGCACAAGTAAACAGTGACAACAGTTTGCGCAAACACGATTCTATCACAAAATGGTTTGATAAAATGAATAAGAATGGTTATAGCATGGTCTGCCTGCTGTGAGAAAGCGATAGCAACACTTTGTTGGCCAAAAGAGTCGCGCGAATCAGATCGCTGTGGTACAGTGAGAATTAAACAGAGGTTTTATGTCTCTTCGTGAGGCTGAGTCTGAGATTCTGATTTCAACCGGGCGTCGAACATTCACGTTGTACGGGTTAAGACTGCGCGCCGTCAGACTTTTGGCGCTAGGTCCGAGGAGTTTGCAAATTTCAGCATATAAGACCTAAGATCCGCTCTTGATTGGGTGACCCAGATCTTACACAACCCATACTGGGTTTGCGGATCTCGTAGCTTCCCGCCAACGCCTTAGAGTGGATCGCAATACTGAAATAGGACATTTCTAACCCTTTCTATTGGGGATAATTGATATAGCTGCTCGGATTAGTTTTTTCAGGGTTGCATTCTTTAGCTTTTTGATTCCAGGAAGTTACTTATTGACAGTTAATGGTCGGCATATCACAGTGCCGTCATCCGACGTTACGCAGTTGTATGAGACATACGGTCAGCCGGGCCTCAACCCCCTGTACTCTAATAACATTGTCGTGGCTGGTTCACGAACCTAATTTTATAACCGAGTGTGTTCCTGTGTCAACACCGGTTATGTCCCCCAGTTAC